GGGCTAGTGCCACCGCCGCCCGCCCGAACGCGCCGCCCGCTCGCGCGGCCACCATGGAGCGCCCGGGAGCGGGTGAGACCGGGCTGCCGAGCGGGCGGGGGCGGGCGGGCGACGGGAGCCGAGGGGGCTTGGGCCCAGCTCTGCGCCCAGCCTCGGGAGGCCCGGCCCCGGGGAGAGCTCGGCCCTCCGCCGGCGCCACTCGGAGCCTCCCCTCCCACTCCCCAGCGGGACTAAGCGCAGCACCGAGGAACCCGCTGTGCATCCGAGGGTTCTCAGTGCTGCGGGGAAGGAGCCCCGTACTGCACGCTTTGTGGGCACCACGGGGAGCCAGGGCTGAGAGCTTGTTCCTAAGTTTCGTTTTTGTTTCTCCCTTCTCATCGGTGACCTTTAGCACAAAGTTTTTGTTAACAGAGTTCACGTTAAAGTTCATGCCCTTCTGACGGTGTTAGTGTGGTAAACAAAACCCAGAACCAAAGCGATTTTTTCTTATATCACGAATATTAAACACCTGAACCACCGTGCTGTCTCATTTAGGATTTTACGCTAGGTTTGGAAAATAGCTATTTTAAAAGTGGCGCCAAGTCTATACTAGGGACCGGAATGAATTTCCAGCTTGGGTCACCATTTGCTGCGCGCAGAACTTTGTGGGTAGAGCGAGTTAGGGGTTGGACTTTGGATGTAAGGGGCCAAAAACCAATTAGAGAAAAGGTGCTCTTCGGCTAGATTTTGATAGCATACATGCGCACAAAGTCTAAAAAGCATACAACGTTAAAATGTATTATATAAATAGCCGTTAACTACTGTAGATATGTTTACAGTTGTAACTCGGATGGAGTGATGAAGACCTTGAGCGCAGATGCCTACGGTATCAGTTTTTGGGATTCATTTATAAAATGCATGAGCATGGAAATTGTTAAGAAGAGTCACACCCCAGTTCCTTGTATAAGTGTGGCTTTGCACTTCAGGATGCTGTTAGCATCTGTATCTTTTCCTTGAACAAAGTTCAAGATGTTTGTGGGGGTACAGACTCTTCTCATTCCCTTTCAGTTATTTGCTTGTTTTGCCAATTTCTCCCTAGTAATTCGGATTGTACTTTTGTTCCCTTTTTATGATGAAGAAACCAAAGGGTGGAGACCACGTGACTTGTTGATTATTGCACAACTCTATTAATCCAGCTGTAAGATGCCACTACGTTTAGTAGCTAAGCCAGGAGGAGAAAGGATGGCAGGGGCCCTGTCCATGGGTTCTTGGGGAGTATATTTACTATTTACCTAGAGGAGAGATGAGGACAGTCTTGCTTTTTTTTCTGAGTTAATAATTCCTATGTACTAAAGTTGTTTCAATTATTCTGTAACTTGATAGCAGTTAGTTTGTAATTCAAATTTTAGACTGCTGTTGATTTTGACATAACACTGCAGTCCAGTTCAACATGCTTTATTTAACAAGGTGGAGAAAGAAGTTGAGCAAGTGACATTATGCCTAATTTTCATTTTTACATCAAGTGAGATACTGGCACCTTAAGTTCCTTCATCCTGTGAAAATGAGAGAATCTGTAATGTGCCCAGGCTGCCATTAAATACCAAGAATTATTCTTCATGGGCCCTGGGATAGCCATTTGGTAGTGTAGCTTGAGACATTTATTTATTTATTATTTTTTTGAGACAGGGTCTTGCTTTCTTGCCCAGACTGGAATGTTGCGGCACAATTGATCATAGCTGGTGGTGACCTTGAACTCCTGGGCTCAAGCAATCCTCTTGCCCCAGCCTGTTGAGTAGCTGTGAGGAATAGCCCTGCATGCTGCCATGCTCAGCTATTAAATTATGGTTTCTCTATTTTTTAGAGATGGATTTTGCTGTGTTGTTCAGGCTGATCTTGAACTCCTGGGCTCAAGTGATCCTCTTGCCTCAGTCTCCTAAAGTGCTGCGATTATAGGCGTGAGGCACTGCAGATGGCCCATTTGCTGCTTAATAATTTCCAGAACAGCATATTTACATTCATGTTTTCTTTTTTTTTGAAACAGTCTCACTCAGGCATCATGGGGTTGAGTACCATGGCATTATAATTCACAGCAACCTCAAACTCTTGGGCTCAACTAATTCTCTTGCCTCAGCCTCCCAAGTAG